TAGTTTTAAAGTTTTTTTATAATAAACTAAGTTTATTTTTTTATTATTTTAATTAAGTAAATAATAATAAAAATAGTTTTATTTTTATTTTTTTTTTAATATAAATAAAAAGTATTTAAAATAAATATTAAATTTTATAAAGTATTTATTTATTTTTTAAAGGTTTTTATTATATAGGTTAAGTTTTTTTAATTATAAAACTTTATTATATTTTTTTTTTTTATTTTAAAAATATTAATTTTATTTTAAAATATTTTAATTACAGTTATTGTTTATTTTAAAGTTAAAGTTTTTTTATTAATTATTATTTTATTATTTTTTTTAAAGTTATTTTTAATTTTAATATTATTATTTAAGTAATTACTTTAGGTTTTATTTTTTTAATTAATTTTAATATTTAGGATTTAAAATTTAACTATTTAATATTATTTTTTATTATTTATAGGTTTAAAATAACTATTTAAATAAAAGTTATTAATATATAATAAATTAAGTTTTATATATTAATATAAGTTAACTGTTTTTAAAAAATAAACCTTTAAGTTTTAAATTTATATTAATAAAGTAGTTAAATTAAATATAAATATTATTTTATTAATATTATATAATTAGTAAATATAATAACTAAATTTAATTTAATTATTATATTAATAACTAATTATTTAAGTTATTTAAATAAATATAAGAATATAAACTTATATATTTAGTTATATATTTTAAATTATAGTAGAAAGTTAGTTTTTTTTAGCTTTTTTAGATTATTTTAGAAAGCTAGCTTTCTTAGCTTTCTTAATTAAGGCGGCGATGTCTCTAATTAGCCTATCGGTCTTTAGTTTATCCAGTTCCGCCTACCCTATAGGCCTATTATTGCAACTATAAAAGTTGGGTCGTGACATACAACCCTTTGAACTGTAGGGTAGCCCTCTGAAAGTAATAGCCATACTAGCCAAGCTAATGTAATTACCGCTAACGTCACTAGTAGTACATAACTATATTTACTATATATATTACCTTTGGACTAGGAATTACTTAACTAGCTTTCAGTAATAAATTAAACTAAATTGTATTAAGACTTAATACTTTCAGCGTAAGGTACCTAAACGCAACTATATATAAATAATATATTTACTATACATAACCTAACTGCACTGTTAACATAAACTAAGTTTTACTGCTAGGGGTATATTTATTTATAAAGAACTTTAATTAACTTACCCTATATACTGGGACGTTGTATTTTTCCTCAACTTGCAAAGCCAGTGGTAATGCACTTTAGATAGTAGCGAAAACTGCTAATTCTTTGATTGATAGCTTCTGGGATAAAACCATAACAATTTCAAGGCCCAGGCTACGCCCAACTACAGTGATTAAGTATAATGCTATAAGTGTTGTTTTTTTGTTGTGATTTTAAAATACAGAATGTATGGCAGGACCTTTAATAATATATCATAGACAGGCTATGTTTACGGATTGGTTAGTATATTGCTGTTTAATAAATAACTGCAATGTGAAAGTTAAGCTGTATTAAAAGATATATATAAATTATCTGAAGATATCAATTGTCTATAACTTATGCTATGCATAGGCTATTTCTTACTACTGCAAAGCTTAATTATATATAGCTTAGGCTTAGTTAAAAAAAGAAAGGGGAGGGGGGTGGGATATATCCAAGCTTAAGTATATGTACTATTTTATTGCAGATATTAAGGCAGAATTGTTATATATCATTCTAATATTAAAATATCAAAGGGTAAGTAAATTAAGTGTATATATATTTTCATGCGCACTAAAATACATATACGACTAAGTCCCCTAATGCCCCACTTATACTTATAGGTATTTTATACTTAGTATAATCCTGCCTAAAGTAGGAGGTGTAAGCACTAAACTTATTACTAAATAGGTTGAGAAAGGTACTACACTACTAACGAAAAAAATACCAAAATTCTGCCTTAACACCTTCAATGGGATAGCAATGTTATTTAAAAGCATTACGCCGAGCAGTTAGCGAAGTTGACTTTTCTATTGTCTCGCGAGTTTCCTCTTGATTAACGGTTTTGCTGGTGGGGGTGTATAAGGTGTAGAGGGTGCCGCTGATGTACTTGTATTTATTAGTGTGTTGGATCTCGTTGTATAAGGCGAAACCTGCTAGCTTAATTGAGTGGTGCCAGCTGGCGCCTAGCCTAGTGAAGCAGAGCTTATTTCAAGCGAAGCAAATCCATCACAAGGATAAAGAAAATACACCATAGCGGGGTTGTTAGGTGAATATAAGGATTATCTGTAAACCCCACAGTAAAAAATGTCCGAGAGGTGCTTAGGGTGTAAAAGGTGTGTCCTGGTAATATTTTCTATCTGTGTATCACGCCCAATTGGATTCTGCTCATGTATACAGGAGTGATTGTATTGCTGGGTTAGTAGCTCCACTAGCGTATACCCGACATACCAACTCACGGTGCGGGAGTTTGCTTATGACGGCTCAACTAACATGTATCCTTTGTATGAGAACCCTATATAAAAGGTAGATACTCCGTGGGAAAGTAGACAAGAAACTCAAGTAATCAATCGAAGTATTCTGAAACCTCGTGTAATTACTCAAGAACAGTGTCAAGTTACGCTGACCTCCTATCCGACACTTTGAATACCCGTCAAAAAGACCTCGTCAGGAATCAGGTATACAATTACTGTCTGCGCCATGGACAGTATTATAAGCCAAATCAAGAGCCTGGCTGCAGGTGCCGATCAGGCTCAAGTCAAGCAAATCATTGTCTCCTTGCGCGAGGTGTCTGATTCCCTTGAGACTCCCTTGGACACTATCCAACGACTGGTGTATTTGGTAAGTTCCATGAGGGATTGACTCGCCTAAAAAATACTAGTAAGCAACATTGAATTGACAACTTATCATAGGCATTACCACTTACCGCAATTCGTATTGGTATTGATCTCGACCTGTTCAATTATTTGGTGAACAACAAAGCGCCAGCGACTGTGAGCGAGTTAGCCACCAAGACTGGGGCGGCACCAGTCCTCCTAGGTGACTTTTTAGTATTCCTTTCAATTTTCAGAGATGCATAGCTTACCAATGGACCTTGTTATAGCCCGTATCCTTCGCTACTTAGCTTCAACTGGAATCATCAAGGAAACAGGAAAAGATACTTTTACATATAACAACATTACCGAAGCAATCACTTTTCCGGGAGCGGCGGGAGCTTTCTACAACTAGTAAGTGCAATTATTTCGTATGCTGATCATAATTAAATATTCGGATTCTGATTGCTTACTTCGTTCTTTTCCGATTCTCCAGCTTTTATACTACTTACCCGGTTTGGCAAGAGCTGCCTGGTTGGCTTAAGGAACACAAATACCAGGATGTGGAGGATAATACCAACACACCACTGCAAAAGGCGCACAAAACAGATCTGCCCTTTTTTAGCTGGATGCTAACACAGCCTGAAACATTGGCACACTTTAATCAGTACATGTCTGTCCGTCATACCGGCAAAAAACAATGGCATGAAGTATACCCACTGGAGGACAAGATTCAAGGGCTCGCGCCAGAGCAAGTGTTCTTTGTGGATGTTGGTGGTGGAATTGGTACTCAGTCACGTGCTCTGCGTAAGAAGTACCCTGATCCTAAGGCCAGAATCATTTTGGAAGATACGCCAGACACTGTTGCACAGGCTGTTCCATTCCCAGATGTTGAGAGATTGCCGCAAAACATCTTCGACCCTCAAGCTATTATTGGTTAGTAATTCTCCTGCTCTCTTTTCCTAGAGTGACTACTAATCAATGGACTCGTACTTAAGGCGCGAAAATTTATTACTTGCGTAATATCCTACACGACTTCCCTGACGAGAAGTGTGTCACAATTCTGAAGAATACTGCAGCTGCTCTCGCTCCAGGCTCAGTTATTCTCCTCGATGAGATTGTCATTCCTGACACTGGTGCTCATTTCCATGCTACTCAGCAGGATATAATTGTGATGGCTACTTTTGCCGCAATAGAGCGAACCGAGGAGCAGTGGTACAACTTGGCTAAGAGGGCAGGGCTGAAGGTCACCAACATATACCTCTACAGTGACAGTGAGCGAGACAGTGTTATTGAGATAGTGAAGGAGTGAAAACCGAACTAGATATCATAGACTTTAGCTCAATATGTTATGATCATAACCCAATAGACACAGTCCCAGAATAGAGTAGGTCTACATCAGTAAAGAGAGTGAGCATAAAAACGGTAGTGTCTTCAACTTGGTATGCGAGAAAGGAATGACGAACTTGGATCTTTGTAAAGCTGCCTTTAACTACCAGGAATTGAAAGAAATGCTAAATGGTCAAGAGGTTTGAGGTCTCCAAAGGAGTTCGAGCTGCCTAGTTTAAAATAAAATCACAATAGAAAGCATAGCTATTATATAAAGACTTTTTCATTTAGTCTTTGGATAAAGTATAGTTTTAATAGTTGATATATATTTTTAAAAGTATTTGATATTTGTAAATTGAAGGAAAAAGGATTATTTATATATATTTTTTATGTAAATGATTATAATTTATACTATAAGTTATATTAATTGCAAAATTAAAATAAATATAATTATATATTAAAGTATAATATAAAAGCTAAGGAAAAAATAATTTTAAATAAAAGTTTATAAAAAGTAAAATAAAAAGAATTATAAAATTATATATAAAAATATTATACTTTTTATTTTAGTATTTAATTTACTTTTTTATTTTTTATTTATTGATTTTTTTAATTTATTAAATAATTTTTAATTTATTTTATAAATTTTAATTTTTATAAAATATATTTTATAATAATAATTTATTAATATTTTTAATTATATAATTTTATATTTTAAAAAACTATTATAATAAAATAAAATTAAATTAAATTAAATTAAATTAATTAAATTAAATACTTATTTTATAGTATTGTAATAATATTAAAAATATTAAAAATATTAAAAATATTAAAAAGAAAACTATATTTAAATAAATTTATATTTTTATAATATATTAACTATATTTTTTTTATAAATTATAAATATAAAATTATTTAAAAATAATTTAAAATATATTAACTATATATTATATTAAAATTAAAAAATTACGTAAAGTTTAATATAAATTTAAATTAATTAATATATTTTTTATAATTAATATATATATAATTAAAATTCTTTTTTAATATTATTTAAAAAAAAATATTTATATTTTAATTATATTTATATATAATAAAATATTTAAAATATATTTTTTAATAAAATTAAGATTTTAAATATAATATATATTTTTTATAATTAAAATAAATATATTTAAAAACATATTATTTTAATAATATAAAATAAATTAAAGAAAATATTTATATTAATAAATATTATAATATATATATATATATAAAATAATTTAAAAATATAATTTAAAATAAAAAAATAATATATAAAATAATTATATATTAAATATATTTTTATTTAAGTTTATATAAAAATAAATACAATATTTAATATAATTATTTTTTTATAAAAATGTAAAATAACAATAATAATAACAATAATAATAATAACAATTTTTATATTATAATTACAAAATTAAAACATTATATATTATAAAATATATAATATAAATGAAAAATGTTAATTTTTAATATAATTAATTTTTTATTAATTCCCAATTACTTTATTAATTTATATTTTTACTTATACAATAAAGTAAACTTTATATTATACTAACTTTTATAATCTCTGCAGAATATATTAAGTAAACATAAAACCAAAGCAAACCATAGTTCAAATACTACTGGGAGGTGCAAAGGGTGCAAATGGTGTGAGCGATATCAGGTATAGATCCCCAACCTTTTCTCTTACTCCAAGTCTCGCAGAACAAGTGGCCTCATAAATTCACATCTAAAGGGCCATTTCCCTTTTTAAGTATTCATAATACAAGTTCAATTCCAAAAACCCAAGCGCAAAGGAAAGGAATAACAGCAATGGAGGGAAAAGTTATCTCCACAAACTTTGTAGAATCTGCTGTTGTTAATGCACCAGTCTCGGCTATATGGCCATTTATAAAACTAAAGGAGTTTGGCAAATTTTACTCAGCTATTCAAAAAGTCGAAACTATTCCTGGCGAAAGAGAAACTGTAAAATGGTATTTTGAAAATGACACCATTCTAACGCTTCAAGAGGAGGAATATTCGGTAAGCATAACACTGGGTCCTCGTCTGCTTATCTGTTTGCAGTACCGAAACTGTTACTAATTAAGACATATTCAGACAGTAAAAAAATCCATGTCATTTAATATTATAAAATGCGAGCCATGGGGGCTTCCATACACCGGCGCATTAAGCACGCTTCGTCTTTACCCTATTACAAGTGGTGACGCCAAAGGCAAGACATATGTGGAATGGAGAGGTCAATATTCTAGCGACGCTACGGCTGGTAAGTGCTGCCATAATGAAGGTTAATCGTGGTCATAAAACTCATTTAAATGATATAGATATTATTGAAGATGCAAAGCTAAAACGCCGTGAGGGGCTTGCCGATCTGGCTAAGTACTTTGAGAACAAATCTATCTAAGTGGTAGAATCAATCTTACATAGCATAATAGCAGCCTTGACTTCGTGTAGAACCAGGCTCATACAAACTCAATAGAAACAGATTAGTAACTATTTACTAAGTTAGTATTTTAATCTGTATATATAAAATATAAAATATCTACTATATAAAATAATATATTTTAAAATACTTTTATAAAGGAACTGATATAATATATCCCTGCATTATTAATATAAGTGTAAAATAAACTATACTTAAAATGCTTATAAAACTTATATATATATATATATATATATATATATATATTGCTTTTTTACAAAAAGCTAAGAATAACTACTTATTTTGCTTTATGTAATTATTAAAATATAACATTACTTACTAGCCTTAACTTAGTGATTTATTTAAGTAATGTTTTGTATAGCTTTCCTTGTTAGCGCCAAAAAGTAAGCTATATCTTAAGCGATTTTTTTAGCTTTGGAAGGGAAACGGTATATTGCATAGATAACAGGTTTTATAGGTACCCTAAGCACAGCCTATCGCACCACTCATCAGACCACTGCGGCTCAAATCACGCCTGTAACGTCCTAATCCCTATTCTTAATATAGGGTAAGGATTCCTAAGGTAATAAGCCTAGATTATAGGTTTATATTAATAAACAGGATAAAAAGTAGCTTTTAAGCAGTTATAATTATAAATATATAAAAATAAAATATAAAGTATAACTTATATTTAGTTTTAATACTTTATTAATAATTAACTATTTAACTATTTAAATAATTATAATAAAGTAAATTTATATATTTAATTATTTTTTTATTTTTATTTAAGCTTATATTATTATATTTATAAAAATAAAGTTATTTTTATAATTTTTATAATATATATTTATATAAAAAAGAAAGAATTAAGCTTTTATTAATTATATTTACCTATAGTTTTACTATAATATATACTTTTATTAATTTAAGCTATAATATAATACTTTTTTTTATTAATTTTACCTTTAAGATTTATATATAAAGTATTATTTAATTTTATAGTAGCTTAGTTTTATAAGTTTTTCTTTCTTTTATATTTATTATACCTAAGGGTATTATTAAATAATATTTTTTTTAATTTAAAAAATAAATTAAATTATTATAATATAATAGTTTTAATAATTAAAACTATTAGATTTTTTATTATATTTTATTTTTATTATAAAATTAATAAATTACTTTATAAAATAATAATTAAATATTTAAAATATAAAAAATATATTTATTATAATTATATTTATAATAGAAATAGGATTTTATTAATTAATAGTAAATAATTTTTTATTATTTTTTTTTTATAATATTTATATTAATTCTATAATATAATATTTAGCTATTAAAAAAGAATATATAAATGTAAAAAAGTATTAAATAAAATAAAAGTTATTATAGTAATAATAATAAATAATATTATTAAATTAATAAATGAATAAAAAGTTTATTTAGCTAATTTAATTAAAAAAGTAATATAAATAGATTAATATTTATAAAATGTAAATATTTTATAAAGGTATTTATTTTTTAAATAAAATAAATAAAATAAAATAAACTAAATTAAAAATAATTATTAATATATAATCTTTTAATAAGGTTAATATAATTAATTAAAATATAATTTTTAATAATATAACTTAAGTTTTTAATAAAACTTTTTTATTAATATTTAAAAGTTAAAGCTTTTAATAAATTCTTAAGTATTATAAATAAATTTTATAATAAACTGGGTCCTATATATTAATATAGGTTAGCTGTTTCTAAGGGATAAACCTTTAGGTTTTAGGTTTATATTAGCGAAGCAGTTAAATTAAGTATAAATATTATTTTATTAATATTATATAGTTAGTAAATATAATAGCTAAATTT